CTGCACCTTGAATTAAACCCCTGGATGATAGAACTGTGTCTGAGTTTACTCTGTCACACATGGTCTCAACTATGTACTATGCCCAAATTTTTTGAGGCAATGCAAATTGAAACTGACTTCCTATTTCCTAAAGAAGGAGCCTGACACCTGAAACTGCATAAAATACTGCAAACAGTTCTACATCACTTGTCCAAAAGTGCAAAAGCTGATCATTGTCAATGATGCTGCTTAACCCTTTACGCCCTGGCGTGACGAATTTGTCACACAGAAAAAAACATCGGTTTTCCAACAATTTCACGTTTTCTGTCATTTTTTCAAAAAATTCACATGAATAAAAAAAGTCTTAGATTTATTTTTTACATATGTGTACCAAGTTTCAAAGTTATCTGTCGGTAAGTAACCGAAATAAAATTTCCAATTTCCAATGGCAATGTCCAATTTCTTATAGAAATTCTATTTCGGTTAATTACTGACAGATTACTTTGAAACTTGGTACACATATGTAAAAGATAAATCTAAGACTTTTTTGTTCGTGAGAATTTTTCCAAAAAAGTGAAAGAAAACGTGAAATTCTTAGAAAACTGACAAAAAGGGGGTACTGTAGAAGTCTATCACCTCCTATGATTTTTGAGCTTCAACATCAAGACGCATATCATTCGATGCGGAAGGACCATATCTATCGATTGGTCCTTGCTGTTTTTCAAAATTCTAATTTTTGTGGCTGGGGTGGGCATTTTTCAAAAAAATTGGTTTCTCCCCCCCCCCTTTTGAATTTCCCCTCCCCTTTTTTCAAAATATTTTCAAAACTATAACGAAAATGAAAAAAAGCTTCGATAAATCTTTATATCTTTTATTTGCAAATCGAACGGTATATTACTCATTGCTGTAGCTTAAAAACTCTGGGAGGAGATAGGTTTGCAGTGACAATAAGTGTGAATGTTCAGTAGGGCGCGACAAAGTCCCGAGGCCCTCAAAATAGGCATTCAAGGTGACATAGATGCAAGACTAGACATTACTGGAGCCGAAATTCAGTCAAGGATGGTGGGAACGACTGCATGAGCACCATCCAACACAACAGCAGCCGGGTAACTATAGAGCAGCGTCTTCAGGTTGTCTATTTATGTGCCCGACCAGTAATTTTTGCCCATATTAAATGTTAAAGAACTCACCCACCCCTAACCCTTTCACGAACTGTCGTCAAGGCATAAATCAACGCACAGAGACGATTTTGGTACCGTTGGATAGGTCAGAATGTCAGCTTTGAAGTGAGACTTAAAACCGAAAAAGTGAATTTTACGATTTTCATCCCAGAAATTCAGGGCGTAAAGGGTTAATGTGGTATTTCTTTAATACTAAACTTCAACATCGTGTTGACTAACCAAGAGGTACAAAAACAGTACCTGCTACAGGTCATCAAACATCATTGCCAGCAGTTTTCTGTGTCAAAAAATCTGTTATTATTGATACTTTTTTACTGTGTAGCAAGTCAGTGGCAGTAGTGCACTGTAGCATTTCAGGAGCGCAGTACATTGAATAATATTTAGTTGACTTGCACTGTTAAGGATTTAATTGAAACTGTTACCGTAGTCAATTTAAGCTTCATTTGTAAAACTCAACATCCATTGTGCAACCAGTAAACAAAGGTGGATTATTAAAATTTTTGCTTTATGCACCATTGCACTCTGCCTATGTAGTTGAACAAATCTGGACCATGAGACAACCATAAATCCAAAATTTTGTTTTGGTTGGCACCCAAATATATATTATTAATGTTTAAAATTTATTATTATCGTTTACCTATCATTTATCATTCATTCATTTATCATTCATATATCATTTATTTTTTTATTTGTCATTTATTTATAAACTGGAATTTATTTGGATCAATTCTACCTTTTGCGTTTTGGTGAATTTAAACCGTTCATAACTATCAGTCACATCTGTAAAGACCCATTTCCCCCCACCCAGGCACTGCGGCAGTAGGCACCCACATCCCACACAGTTATAGTCTCAAACTAATTTTTATTTCAGTTATATTAAATAGCCTACAACAAGAGCTCTCTAATGGTGCTAACATCTTTGAAATGGGCTCATAGCAAACCTAGAAATGATAGTTTTTCTAAAACAAGTGCCAAAAATTGGTCCATTTTTTGGGACGTAATTGAATAAAGTAAAAATATTGTAGCTACTTAATTTAAATTTGTAGTCCACTTAAATTTATATTGTATCTTTTTCTATTGTTTTCCTTTTCAGATGTATAATTTTCATTCCAATTGAAAAAATTTTTTGCACACATGCCCAGCCTCAGCCCAGGGCTGGATTACATATCAAAACATTGCCAAGTACACGTGGCAACATAGTAACAAACCACAGATTTTTGGAATCAGTTCATTTTTAATTTCCTCATCTACTCAAGATTTAAACCAATTTTCTAAATATAATATGGCTGGTATCCATGAAACTATACTGGTCTACAGAACTCAAAAATGAACTTGAGATTTTTAACGTTTCTGCTTTGACACTGCATGGCAACTCAAGTGTTGCGCAAGTGCTCCTATGAAGAAGTAACTCTAGTGGTGTTATTATCAAAACAAAACATTTGTGCAAAAAGCTATGTACAAGAAGTTGTGCATAACTTTATGCCTGCCTGGAGGTGTCATAACTTCAACTTGTAAGTGGAGTTAAGTACAACTTTTGAATGGGTGAGGCAATTGGTAATCATTTAGTTACTAGTGTCTAGACTCTACTCTACATACTCTACTAGACTAGTAGAGGCAAGACACTAGTACTACTAGTGTCTAGACTCTACTAGTGTCTAGTACACTAGTAGAGTGTAGAGTAGTACACTAAATATTTCTAGACACTTGTAGAATCTAGACACTGTCTAGACTCTACTAGTGTCTCGAACACCTCCACATTCCATCGAACACCTTCACGCCAAAACAAAAATACTTCCCATAAAAGCACACTCAACATGAGAGGAACACAGTTAATAGCCGCAGCCATAAACAACACAGAACACCCATGCCACTACCTACGCGACCACCCACCTACACACAGACAAATAGAGCAAACCCCACATAGATGATACATCAACATACTAGACACAGTACATACCCCCACCCCAAGGCAACACCAGCACAAAAAATACAGGGTGCGGCGTGGGAACTTACTCTTTTAAAAAAATCACAAAGTAAAAAGTATTAAAGATAGCGTTTTAATTCTTTCTTTTTTACAAAGAGCTACATTTAACACTGCATGGTCGCAACTGAACTGAGTGGACGAAAAACTTCATAGCCCGCGCACCATATTGCGCATGGCGCCACCTTCCTAGGACTAATGGCCGCCACGTGGCGCGCAATTCAAATAAGTAAGTTCCCGCGCCGCACCCTGTACTTACACACAATTATGACACTTAGAACACTGGAGCTGGCTGGCAACAACAAAGTCCTTGGACACCCACCACCTGACATAAGCAGCACAGAAACCCAGCTCTCTAGAATGAAGAGGTACACCTAGCCAGGCTGCGCTGTGGCTACCACCCTTCACTACAAACATGTGCAAACAGAATGGGCCATGCAGACACAGACATCTGTCCATCCTGCCAGAGAGCTCCCCACACAATCACTTGCATTCTCCTGGAATGTCAGCTCTGGCTGGACCTCAGACAACACCACCCCTACAGCTCTGGAGTGACCCCCTGTCGGTGGTGTCGTACTTGCGCAAGGAGGGTCTCTTGTAAAAGCAAGACTGGGGAACCACAACAACAACAACTAGTGTCTAGACTCTTCAAGTGTCTAGACTCTAGACTCTACTAGTGTCCAGTCTAGACTATCAGTCTAAGGTAAATCTCCTTTTTATTTTGAAAAATATCCTTTTATCATATCTGAGGAATTATGTTAGTAATGCATTGAAGGAATTTTCTTTTAGTACATGTCAATAGAAAACGAGTTTATTTGTGGAGCTAAACAATGAAATACAACAAATTTCCTCTCATTCTTCATTTCATCATATTAATCATTAAATAAATGTTTTACTATTGTGAAACAGCATTTTTTTATTGACTTTTCAGAGTTAAAGCATCTAGGAGACTAGGATTCTTTAAAAAAGCTAAAAATGTTGAAAAAAGAAGGCTTCAAAGCACAGAATGTAAGCTAATCCAAAGCCGCTGATCGGTTAGTTAGCCTAACTTAGCCAGATCCCCAGATGGCTTTGACAATTGCTTTTCAGATAAGTCTTGCATATGAAAGTTTTGATAATGCCAAAATTAGGGTGTACTTACGCAACATGTATCTTTTTGGGTGCAAGTATATAAAATACAAAGTTTTGATAATCTGGCTCCAGATCTCTTGGCTCATTTGATTTCAGCCGCTTGTCCACCTCCACTACCTAGTCCATAGTGACAAAGATTTTTTTAGAATCAGTTCATTTTTAATTTCCTAATTTTCTCAATATTTAAATATATTTGTTATGTATGATAATGCTGGTATCCATGATACTTTACTCTTACTGGTCTACTTATAACTATAAGACTCAAAAATGAACTTGAGGTAGAATCTAAAAAACTCTCTGCTTTGCCACTATGTGGACCAGTGTCCACTACAGCAGTTTAGCTTAGGCAGGTCCAAATTCCGGTGTAATTAGGAATTTATTCATTACGGACCTAAAACTTAATCTGCAAAATAATGAAAAAATGATTTGAAATTTAGCCTATTCTTCACAGATTTGAATGACTGCAAATTGATCATTTCATGAATTTGATAACGGATTATTGACCATTTCTATGAATACACAATAACTGGACAGAGTACTAGCCTACTAGGCATAGTATACCTATCACCCGATGCCTAGCAGGCTAGCTGTGAGTATTATCAGTGCGTATTTTATACTTATAGGGAAACTCATGCTGAATCATTAACACTGAAATTCAGATTTAAGAACATAAATAACATTATGAATTCAAAATAAAATAATCTAATGGTCACAGAATTAGCACTTACGAGTTACGAGGATTGCGGCTCTATTGTAATGGTGTGAATGGACATAGATAGATCGGAGCACTAGCACAGCCGTCTTCCTTGGCAAAGTGAACGATTACACTTAGGTAGGCCTATGACAGTGACTTGCAAACGAATAACGCTATCACGTGGAACTGTCTCTAAACTGGAGTTACAAAATTATTTGAGTACCTAATATTGTTAGGTACATGGGAAATACAGAGGGACATTGGGTTAGTTAGTATATCCTTATCTAGTATCTAATTAATTAGGCGTATAAAAAATAAAAATAACGCGGCGCGACACTGGGAATATAAGCAAGCTAATGAAGTCTTTATGCGATGGTACCTTTTCTTAGTGTCCGAATACCTAGTGCCATAGTTGGAAGAGGTTGGTTTGCAGTGCACTCGATTAAAATAGGTAACATGGGGCAGCGAGCCCACTGCGGGTCATTGGCACTCATGGGCCCATAGCGGGTTTCTCGCTAAGTATGGCAGATATTGGTCCGTGTTCTCTACCGCCGGTCGACAGTTTCACTGGGATGAAGTGTACGGATTTACGTTTTGCTAAGTGTTTGCGTCATTAATTTATTTGTGAATAACTGTTTTAGCCCAGTTAAAATTTTTTTTGCTGCTAAATAAAACTGTTTTCGATTACTGTAGATCATAGATGAAGCTTTTGAAATTACTGTGAATTATATTTTGAAAGTAATATTTATATGGATAATTTTGAGATAAAGTTTAGACTATTAACTTTAAAAAAAATATTGACACGATATAAATTGAAATGATACCTAGTGGGGCAACGGGCCCACGCGTGTCACGGGGCAAAGCGCCCATGGTGAAGTCTTGTGTTATACGTCATTAGATTTGCATCAATGACCGTTTCAAAACTTTAACTAGCTTTTTGAATTACAAATTACACTTCATATTGCCTGATTTTTTTTATTTTTCGCCTCAAGGCAGCAGGTTTAGTTTCTAGTTATGCGTATTTATGACCCCTTATCGAGTTATAATGTTATTGACTCGTGTCTTGTCAAAAGTTGATTTCAGTCAAGATCAACGAGCCAAAAGTTGATGAGTTTTTATGGTGTTGGCTGAAATCACGATTAGGTACGAATTCTCTGCACATAATATCTGGATTATGGACGAAACTGGAACGACGTTTTTTTCTGATCAACTAAATATATTTTTTCTAGTCAAGGATACATTTTTTCAAGTCTAGGACGAATTTTTTTATCGCAAGGATATATTTTTCAAGTCAAGGATATATATTTTTATGTCAATGAAATATTTTTCTTCACGTCAGTGATAGATATTTTAAGCTAAGAGTATATTTTTTCAAGTTAAGGATATGATTTTTTGAGGTGTTAATAAATGAATGAATGTATATTTTTTATATTTTCCTTATTTTAATTGTAAAATGTTGTTTTATCATTTTTAAACGAAAAATATGCAATTGTGGTAAAGGGGCCAAGGGGTGAGCGCCTTGCCCCAAGCCCATGGGCCCATTTTGACACTTTTAAAAAATAGTGTTTCATTAAAAATTGAATAACTATTCAATCATACATTCCTTCACATCATACATTCCTCATTAGTTGTAACTTTAAACAAAACAAAGAACCACCTTGTATCAATTAAAACATCATCAAAAATTTAGTTAAAAAAAGGGGGGGGCGCTGCACCATGTTGCCCTATACGGCTATACCACAGCATTTAAAGTAATCTTCCAAAAAAGGAGTTAATATCAACTTAATAGTATAGCATAGAAATCAGAAAACCTATTTGATAAGGAAAAGCACATACAAGAACAACTACACGATGCTAACGGTTCTAAAATAACAATAACTTCTTCAATAGTTTGTGTTCATCCCTTAATTTTGATCCTAGGTTCACCATTTGAAACAGGATTGTTATATTCCATAGTCTGATTAGCCAGCATTCGAAATAATGTACGATCATTATCTGACGCATGGCAGTTGCTCTAAACGTGTTAATTTGCTTCTTCTAAAGATTTCCGACATATTTAAGAATTACCAATTATTAATGAAAATATTTGAGTTGGGAAACACTGAGAGACGGACAAATGATCGTATAAATGAGATTACTTCTTACTTGGTTAAGGAGAGGCGCTTCATCGACTACTTGGCGCCCCCATTCAGCAGTCTTTGGGGGGGGGCATTAGATGTTGTCAAGCATGTTGATGTCCTGGAGGTACTTGATAATTATGTCAGCAGGAAATTCAGGGGCTGTGAGCGAGGTCAGGCTGAAATAAATGAGATATGAAGTATAAATGGAAAAGACCTATGATGAAATCGAAAAATGTATCGGTAGAATTCAAGGCTCCACCGGGAACTGCGGGTCCGGATGCAGGCTCGGCTGATGCCCTATGAGATTCTATCACTACGTTGATTCATCATAATTTAGCTCGTAAATGAAATGCCAATCTGGATTTTTTCTCGCATATTCAGTTATTTATTTAAAATTTCTCTACAGAAACAAAACATGTAAAATTTGTTTAACATCCGTTATGATAGAAGAAAATTTTGTACATCGATGTTCATTTTACATGCGACAAAACCTAAATTTGTTAAGCATAGGGAAGTCGTGCTATTTATTCTCAGCTGATCAGTGTTAGACACATATCTAAATAAACCGCTATTTTAGAGTCATTTTTCACCAAAAAATAGATAGGTTAGATGAATTAGATGCCCATCGTGTAATCAGGATACGTGTAATCAGAAATGTGTAACCAGGATACGCGCTCAGTGGCCGGGTGCTGTCCCGTCTTCGTAGCCGTGACATCCAACTAGGAAGTATGTATCACTGGGCATAGACAATCGAGCAAGTATGTGTAAGCTAATATGTTATAGTATGTTCCACACAGTACAGCATGACAAGGTCACTAATGCGTAATTGTCAATTACATTAGGTAGCATCTGCTGGAGGCTGAAAATATCCTACTTGTGGGCGTGGTGGTTACAGCCAATTGATATCATAGAATAAAATAGCGGTTTCAGCGTTTATTAGGCCGTAGGCCTGTCGCCGATTCTTAACATCGCAGAATATTCACGGCTTATTGCGGTCTCGAACGCGCAACTCACTGCTTCAATTTTTGCTTTGCTTCACCGCCCGGCCTCCTCGCCGATTCTGACCGGAAACTGGCGCACACTGCACATAGCTGGGATCGAATCCAAGCCTCTCTGACTTTATGCCTCATTTCGTCAATTTAATGTTTCGCATGGCGCATGCAAAGACGCGTGAACACGAAAGGATATACGTAAGTCGAGTTGTACTTTTGAGCAGCTGTCTCTTTAATATGGAACGAAGAGCTGTTGAGCTGGCACATAATGAAATGATAGGCTGTAGTCAACGCTATCCCATAAACGTATACGTGTACGCCAAAAAGTCTCTGTTTCGATCGAACCCTAAAATATTGTACACCTCACAGGTGTTCATAAATCTACGGACGTTCGCGTTCACATTTTATTTTCTTTGCTCTACTGTTCAATTTGTAAATATTGAACTGAAAAGCAATTTTACTCAGACTTCTTACAAAGGTGAATAAAAAATGTAATTCATTATGATACTTTACACAGAATGAGACTACGTACAGCAATTTAATTCGTTGGCAGTGCAAAAAAGAATCCTGAAGCTTTGAGATCAAAGGTAACTTGAAATGTAAAAAATAATGCCTTAGCGGTGCTACCATGAACTGTTAATGAACGGATAACGACTCTATTCGTTTACCTTCAACCAGCCGCCAGACTTTAAAAAGTTTTTACGACATTAAGTTCTTGACAGGATCAGCTTACCGCTGGAAAGACCGTCTTCTGATTGGATTTGCAATATCGTATTCTTATAAGGGGATCTGGTAACTTATGAGCCAATCACATCTACATCGGCAATTGAAGTGTAGATCGGTTTGATCTAATTAATCTGGATGTAAATAAGAATCTCGTAGCTGATAATATTATCGTTGCTGAAAATACTGTCATAATATTCACAGTCTACAAACATTCTTAGACTTGATAACAAAAAAATATTGTTTTCAAATACGTCTAGGAAAAAGACATCCAAGTTTTAACTTACTAAATTCTTTTTTAGAAAACCTAGAAAAGAGTTAAACCTAACTAGTCATCTTATGGACGATGACTACGGCAATGCCTGGAGTGAAAGGGAAGGTTGAAGTTAAAGCGAAAAGTTTCCTGGGTCCGTTCTACAGTAGAAGCAATACATTAGTCAGGTGAAAGTCATGTTATTTACATGGAAATAAAGTTTAAAAGGGGACCACTATAAGGAGCGTTAAAAGTAACCCGTACGGCGACTCTAATGACCGCTCCATTAAGAAACGAGAAGTTAAAAAGCATTTGCAGTCTGTAAGCTGCTGCTATGGCTACACGGTGAAAAGCAATTTTTGCAAATTGGCAACGTCGTCTTCATCAAAACATCGAGATGACACCAGCACGAAGACACACATCAAGGCACCAACATTGGGCTACACTGAGAACATCAATGTTAAATAGTATTAATAATGTCATTGGATACTTCAAGTAAACTGAGTTAAAAATCTTTGTTTTCCCACTAAATATTCTTTGCAGAACACAGATTTTTTCTCCGATTTTTTCCTCTCGGAATGTCAAACCAGACATGAATTGAAAACCAGCAGCCCAAGTTTTTAAACTATAAGAAGAAGACCACAATGGGCTTTTCACTTTCTGATTAGATCGTTGTTGTTGGTAACGATGCATTTCGAAGATTGGGATTTCGTTTAAAATCTTTTTGGTAAATTTGAAAGTTTAGAAATGGAACGTTGGAATAAATAGTTATCTGCAAAAATAACGTTACATAAAATATAAGTCGACAATAAACCGCCCGATTTTGCACCTTACCAGGTTCCGAGGAAGCCTGAGACACTTGCAAAGTTTGATGCGGGAAACTTAAGATGCTCGACTTCTATGCACAACCAAGATTGAATTACTACATCAAAACTAGTGCAAAGTAAGGCAATTCAAATGAATGGATATTTGCAGAAGTTAAATATTAATGTAATGAAAGAGTTCAATAGGTTTGGCATATTTCACCACAGGATGAAAATGCAGCCATATAGGCACTCTCGTAAGGCAGCATAGTTATTCAAATAGGAAGGAAGTCCTCAGGCAGTGGTTCCCAAACCACGGTCCTACATAATGGGGCGCTAAGACACGGTAAATGGGAGTAATTTTAAAAGAGAGATTTGTAAATTTTACTTGCCTTTTCCGAACAGTTTCTCTGCGAGACAGGCTTTTCAGCTGTTGCATCCTTAAAACCCAACTATCGTTCGCAGCTGAAAATTTCATCATGATTCGAGACTGACAGTTTCGAACCTATGAAGACGTATTATTATGCAAAATAGTCTTATTGCAGTCTCTAATGAGTACTCGTGCTTTGACGATTGCGAAACCGTATTGTTTACTATGGTTTGCCTTGTTGTGGATTCATGCGCTGCGAGCACAACTGCATTCTTTTTTTCACGTTTTTTACTTTGTGTTTGTTGTCTGATGTTTTTTATTTTATTTCAGCTCATCATATTCCGACACTGCGTACGGGTTTCATAACGGTTTGGAATGTACTTTCTAAATAGTGTATATTGTTGGCGCAACAGTCACCGGTGATGTGTGTAAATTCTCACTTATTTCAAGCTGGAATGCCCGAAAAAGTTTGGGAACCACTGTCCAAAGGAAACATTTTGAAGACTTTAATCTCGTTACAATTTGTGATTAGGTTTCACCTAACCTGAAACGATCATCTTCTCAAAAAGCAAAACAATAAGAAAATTACACAAGCATCAAAATTCCTTATACCGAAATTTGTTACAAGGAAGTTTATAGAGCAACGATCTCATTGATCAAGTGTTTCAACAAACCTTAACAATACAGGGTGAGAATCTGCTATTTCCATAATATTTACAGTATTTATATGTGCATTTAAACATTCGATTAACATTTCTCAATTATGCTTAAGCTCCCGAAAGGTAGTGTATCAGCATAGCGTTCAAATGTAGGCAACGATAAACACTCTTTCGCGAGGGAAGGCGCTTCTACCGCGCTGAGCGCCTAGATTAAAAACGACTGATGAGGCTTGACAAATGATATGTGAAGCAGGTCGAAACATCCGTAATATTCATTAATCAACTGTTCCTGCTCGATAACGTATTTAAATAGGATCATAAAAGGATTTATCGTTCCATTTAAATGAAACCGGGATGGTGCAATATAATACGTATTTACAAGAGTTTATTCCTAATATATAAGAAGAAATAGAAAGGAAGTTAGAATAGAAGATTGGCTTCAGCTCTCTGGCTCAGAACTGGCTTCCTACCCTCGCTTGGCACGCTCTAATTCATATATGTTGTTATAATAAATATAATAAAACTATCGCAACATTAGATTATTAACGGAACAGCACTCTACTTACACGAGGAACTTTAGAACACACCTCACGCGCAAAAAAATTTTGCGCAAAAAGGTCATCTCCACTAATTATATTAGCAAAAATTGATGACAGTTTCCCCTATACAGTATACACACAAGCACCTCTGCAGCAGAGTGCTTGCGACGTTCTCCTGGTTCTTACACATTAGGTATTTCATCACAAAACTCAGACATCCAGTTGATCAGTTGATCAACCGAAAAGTAAACTAGATCGTTCGAGATAATCATTTTGAAATCAAATGATCAACTGAAAAGGAACCTAGTAAGGCTCCTTGATATGCAATATTACGGTAGCACCGCTCCCAGCACCGCGACGCCTCCAGAGTACGCGCTGAAAAAAAAAACTTATGCCAGTGTTGCCCTCCAGCTCATTCAGGTTCAGTATAACGACGATTCTGAAACACTTTCGAGAATCTTAAACTATTAGGAAACTGTGTGGCTTTCTATGTAATGCCTCTTGGGAAGATTTAAATGCTTTAACGTGCTAATAACTTTTGCACTAAAATGAGAGGTAGGGTAGCATCTTCGTCCATCGGAATTAGTAACTTGCTCACAATTTTAACATCTGACGAATATTTGACATACGATTATAGCTTTACTTCAACATAAGCAACTCTTTGTCACTGTCGCTTTATAAAGCTCCCGTCACTTGTCAATTCAATAATTTATAGTTTATCATTTCAATCAGTGATGATTGCTGTAAAGGTTTATGCACCTCGAAAACATCGAAGTAAAGTATTTCAATAATTTTGACTGATGACACTGCGATAATAACGACACAAACTTCAGTAATTTCACCCTGAAGAATGACTTTTTTCCGCACAATTTCCATAAATTATGCACGTTCTCTAGGCATTTTGCTCATGAGAGTGACGTGTCACTCCCATGATTCATTACTATACTTCAGTCCCTTCCTCTTCCAGATTATTTCTTACGGTAACTGCCAGGGTTTTGACCTTAACTAACTGCAAGTTACTTTCACAATTAAGGGTAGTGTGAGGACCAGCACCTTTATCCCCCCAACTTTCCCTGTCACGTCTTCGTGTTTCCTCTCTTTCATTCTTGAGGCTCTTAACCACCACGATGTCGTCGGTCTTGTGCCTACCCTTGTAATGGCGCCAAACGAGTAACAACACTCCGATAATCAGAGCTATTACTATAAATACTGATAATAAAATGTATAGGATGTATGACAGATATGATATGGAAGATGTTTTTTGCTGGGAGATCATGGAGTCTCGCAGAGTGAAGCCTCGTATGTTCGTCCCGTTACGAGTTTCGGACTGCAAGTATGAAGGTGAAGGTAAAGGCTCGTGAGTCCAGTTCGTATCCTCTTCTGTCCAATTCAAGGAGTCTCTTCCAATGAACGTTACATGAGACCAGGAATCTTGCTTCGTGGTATCGGTGCCATTTTTATACAATAATGTTGGTGTTAAAGGTGACGTCACAGCTTCGTTGACTGAACTGAAGATTTGAAATTCAAGATCTTCAGTCGAATTTTCACTGTCGTAATCATCAGTAAAGTTGCCAGCATGCCGTCTTGTGCGGGGACTGTCGCGAGGTCCAATAGTGTACAACACCTGAAAAAAAAACGCATCAAACGTTGGCCAACATTGGAATTTATATCGAATAATTAACCAATTAATGGGGACGCTATAGAGGTGGTATGATGTATCAGGAAATATCGATGGGAATATTGGTATTGATTTTGGCCATGATTTTGTTGATAGGATGTTGTTGGTGAAGCTGATTTTTGGAAATCGCCTGTGTATGTCGCTGAAGCCGACATCAGAGGGAAACAAAGCTTGACTGCGGTCGAAACTAGCAAATTCGTTAAAAAAAGCACAAGTTTATTTGCAAGTAAAGAACAAGCGCTAAAACGACAACTATTAAAATGAAAGGCTTAAAAAATGATAACTGCTACTGGTCTCCGCACCTGCAGGAACCAGCGTTGGTCTGGAGACGCGGTGAAGAAGGGTTCCAGGTCCAGCACAAACCCGTCCACGCCAGGCAGGTCACTCAGGGCGACGTATCTGGATGTATGGAAGCATAGTGTAAAGATGGATAAAAATAAAAACAAACAGAAGTAAAATTTTGCTTGATAAGCCTACATAGAATGTGTCTCCAAAAATATAACAATTACTAATTTAACCAATATAAAAACAATTTCTTGATTATTTTCAAGTAGTTGTGAGAATTAAATAGAAACTGAAACTCATAAATTACTACACTAACAACTAAACTTGGTGTTGCTCGGGATAGATAATCCCTGATATTCAATAATCCTTTCACCCTAATCCCGTTTCTCTTAATTCTATTTCCGTTAACCCCGTTTCTAATAATATATTTGTAATTTTCTGTCCTGTTCATTTCTCTTTGCATTTTTCAAACTACTGTAATGCGAGTAATGAAAGGCCCATTCCCATGCACATTTAGCATGAAGCTTTCATTTTGCTTCCAGTTAATATACAAAAGAAATGTTGCTTCACTTATTTTCGATTATTAATATTGCATGTATTAGTAAAAAGTGGAATTTCTATATTGAAATAAACTCTCTCCTCTCCCATTTCGTAATACCTAACGATTTATTCTACCACTGAGAACGAAATTTAAAGACAAAAAAAGTAATATTCAGACATGGTAGGTATTGAGGATCCGCACTCGAATAACCGCTGAAAATTTTTCGATGCTGAACTTAAAACAAACATACAAGCAAAAAAACTTTTTATTCACACAAGTTTGTAGGTAAAAAATAACTTGAACTAACTTCGCATGCATTGGATAGAACACAGAGCGCTATATTAATAGAAAATAAACTAACTAATCGAAAGAAGCAGCGAAATATTTGGTGAAAGATATTGTGCTCTTCATAATCACGCCTCACCTGTCAGACTGTGACACCAGGGAAGCTTTGATCTGCATGGGATTGAGGTCCGGCGAGATTGTCAAGCTCGGCTCTGCCCGATCCTGCATGAATTAAAAACCTCGACTAAGGATGAACGTAGGAGTTTCAAACACAGAAAATATTTCAATTTTTCTCCAGTTGTAAAGCGGAATTTCATGCTCAAATACGAGTATATAGGACATTAGATTAGAGAGGATGCGCTGTAAATGCGTAAATTACTAGCAATGAGACGGTGGAATGTAACGCAAATAATGAGCAATAACAATGATTAAGAGTTTATCTGTTCTTAATTCAATGAATGGCAGTGAAACTAGGTAGATTGACTGTTATTCCGAATGACATAAGAGATGACTGCGCAAAGATATAATAGATACCAGTACAGATGGTGGATGCATGTAGATTCAAATGGTATAATAGATAAAAGCCCAAATGGCAGAATAGATGCCAGTCCAAAGAAAATAGGTGCATGTCAAAATGACAAAGTATACAAACACAAATGTTGGTATAGTTAGCCAGGAGATATTTTTAAGGCTGATTAATAATGTCTATATTCGAAACTTCGCAACATTATAATAAAATGTCACATAGAAACCATACATTCCATTTATAAAGTCCTACAAAATCTATTCGTAGAATCGAAAAGAATAATAATAATATACGTTTAAAAATTACTTTTTAAAGAGAACACTTCAAAAGAATCCAGTATCTCCAATCTTACAGATGTGCAATGAATTTCTCATCTAATTTTCAAAAATAAAAAAAATTAATTTTTCAATTTTTTTAATATATATAAATTTTTTTAATATATAAATTTTTTCAAAATTATTTATTCTATTAATTGATTCATGCATTGCCTCTGACTTCAAACAAGTGTGCAAAATTTCAGATCAATTAGACAGGTAAAAGTGTGTCAAATATCAGTTATAAGATTTGTAGCTGACAAAATTATTTTTTCAATTTTTTTAATATTGAAAAAAAAAATTTTTAAATTTCAAAAATCATTTATTTTGACATTTGATTTATGCATTGCCTTCAACTTTAAACAAGTGTGCAAAATTTCAGATCGATAGGATAAGTAGAAGTGTATTAAATTTCGATTACAAGATTTATAGCAGGCAGACAGACAGACAGACAGACAGACAGACAGACAGACAGACAGACAAACAAGAAGTGAAGTTAAAGAGAAGTGTTGTAAAAAAGACTAATAAGTATCGCACTCTGGTCCTGAAAACATAACTGTTTTCAATACAAACGTCCATTGTGTGAATGGCAGGGAAGTTCACACCATAGCACACAATGCGTGATGATGAATCCACTGAGAATGAAATTACAGGGCAAAGTAATATCCCGACACGGTAGATATTATAGACGCATACTCTTGTATCCCCTGAATATTTATATTTATGGGCCATACCAGTACGAGGGCGCGGTGCTGGAGGCCGGGGTGTGGCTGCAGACAGCCGTGCTGGGGACCATCGTTGTACAGTGCGCCCGTCGGGTCGTACGTGGGTACGTAACTGTCAACATTCAGAATTATTCACCAGTGAAAAATTCACTTAAAACACTGAATTTTAAACATGGTTATAATTCGTACAACACTTATTTGTTGCCATATATACGGATTTTGCAACGTGTTCTCAGGTTGGCATAAGCAAGCACTAATGGAGAAAAAGTGAAATGAAGAAATAAATGTACGCAAAAAAATGAAATTTGAACTCAGAGAAGCACAATACACAACTTATGAAGAAATCCGAGTTTTTGGGCAGATTTAATAATTAAGGTTTGCGGTATATGTGTTCATATATGTGAAATTTAAATTGCTGGTCAGCCGGTTAGACAGGCGTTGCCCGGCATTACAGCAATTCGAGAATTTCGTTTCCACGGATTCCGTTTTTGAAAAACATTAACACTTCCGAAATAAAAATCACATTTCAATTTTTTATTCCAAATTCAATTTTTTAGTCGCAATTCATATATTATATGAATCAGAAAATAAAAAGTAAAATTTTATACCCACATAATATCCCAATACGATAAGTATTGTGGATACGCGCGAGAACAGCCTTTCTGCGTTTGCGGTGCCAGGCTTCAAACACACAAACTTGGACAAATACATAATATACTAAATACATTCTGTGCAATATATTAGCATATCACGGACAGAGGTACATTAAGAAAAAATACCAGGCATCGTTAATCAATAAAAACATTTATAAAAATATAAAGCATGGTTAATCAATGAAATCTGCACAGCTCAACACGACTATTCACGAGACATTTTTTCGGACTACAGACCAAAAAACGGAAGATATAATTAAAGTATGTAAGCTGAAACGAATTAACTATGCAATAAATAAATATGTAATAATCCTATCATGCAGAATTATACCGATTAAAATAAGATTGATTTTTTAATCAGAATTTCAAAAAGAAAGGGCTTAATTCGTCTGATGGAAATTAATTCCTAATGGCATTTACAATACGGCAATGTTGCTAGAATAAGGAATAGTAATAATGCTAGAGCTTAACTAGCAATATACTCGTACAATAATAAAGCCGTGATGGGCTGAATTTGAACTCAATTTGTTATTTTTGGTAGTTAGAAATGAAAATATTCGAAGTGATTTAATTATAATCCGCAATAAGATACCCTTGTGCGCTGGAGCAGACGTAGACGCGCTGGATGGTGAGTTTGAAGGGCACCGTCCGCGCGTCCTGCCACAGCACCACGCGACCGAACAGCTTGTCTTCTGCGCCGTACGCCCCGATGAACTCCTCAGCCTGTGTCGTGAGCAAAGGTGTGTCGTGAGCAAAGGTGTGTCGTGAGCAAAGGTGTGTCGTGAGCAAAGGTGTGTCGTGAGCANGTCGTGAGCAAAGGTGTGTCGTGAGCAAAGGTGTGTCGTGAGCAAAGGTGTGTCGTGAGCAAAGGTGTGTCGTGAGCAAAGGTGTGTCGTGAGCAAAGGTGTGTCGTGAGCAAAGGTGTGTCGTGAGCAAAGGCGTGTCGTGAGCAAAGGCGTGTCGTGAGCAAAGGTGTGTCGCGAGCAAAGGCGTGTCGTGAGCAATGGTGTGTCGTGAGTAAAGGTGCGTCGCGATTTAAGGTGCGTCGTGAGCAAAGGTACGTCGTGAGCAAAGGTGAGTCGAGAGCAAAATTGTGTGGTTAGCAAAAGTATGTAAAATACGTTGCTTTATGAAAAATCTGCATCGAAGCAGACGATAAATTGCGTCGAGTGCTAAGTCACGGCTTGTAAAAAAGTTGCGTAATATTAACAAAATCCAAAGTATTATGAACTGATCTATGATTTTTCATGAGCTTAGCACATTACATTAACTTATCACATAATTACCACAAGAATAGGCGAGTACTGTGTGATGGAATGCAGTCATATCAGCTCGCTTGACATGATAATTATACCCAAAAGAATAATATTAGAGAATATTCCTCATATGCCACTCAACTTTCATAATTTGTTGAATCATTATTAGCTTTTTTAAAACAAGTATTGCTTGTTCTCACACACTGGTGGTTATTTGAATGCAATTACACTGTAGCAATCAATTAATAAGCATCGCACCTGAGGGTTGTCGATATTGTGAGGATCTTCCAGAAAGTCTTGCTCGTCCTTGAACAGCTGGAAGCGAGTGTCCAGCGAATACACGAGAGGGACGGGTCGAAGTGGCGGCTTCACAGCTAGTGGAAGTCGGAACGCAGTCGGGGAAAATGGTCGGCAAACTGACAACACGCTCGAGGGCTGCCCTACTGACAAGCTCGACGTCAAACGAATATCGGGGATGCGATATGACGCATCGTCGTCGGGGGGTGAGTCTGTTAGGGCGGCTGCGGAGGCCACGGATGGCCATGGCTGGTCAGCTTGCCACAAGAGACTCGTGTTCACGTCAGAGTAGTGCTGCTCTGACGACACCGTGCACGGGACCAGCTCCACCGTGTAGTCCCCCGTAAAATCTGACAAACTTGTTGTGCTCGTAGCCTGCCATTTCTAGAATAAGTGAAGACAGGTAATTTTTAATCAAATGAAGCTTGTATCAACATCAGAATATTATATCTCGAGATAAATTTTCCAAGCATCTTTTCCTTTTGACTCGGTTTGAATAATGCAAATTTCTAAGAAAACTTTCTAAAAAATTTCATGTAGAATCAAGACAATAGAGAGCTAAGAATTACCTGTTCAGCAGCATCAAAAGTAGAAGACGACCATAGAAGCTCAAGCACAAATCGTATTGGTCGTTCGGTTGGAGGTATGACAGCGGAGCGCGCGTCTGGTAGCAGCGGATGCAGTACGACAAACTGGCCGCGAAATTTGCTGATAGTCGTGAATTGGAGCACCAGGCGGTTTGCTGCATCCAGCGACGTCCGGGTCAGCTGTGCAACATTCATGTTTATTAAGCAACGATATCGTCAGCCATTTATACTAATGGTAGCCATATAAAGTTAATTGAGGCGGAATTTTTTACTCATCAATGAGTTGATGCACTTAGTTGGATTCAAAACTTAGGCGTCATTGGCAGTACACTGTATGCTGTCATTAGAACGCAAGTTGTGACATAGATAGTAATATTAACGGAAGTGTTAAAATCACCAAGATGGGAGCAGAGAGTTAGAAATTCGGAACCCGTAACAGGTTGAAAAAATCCTAGTCAAAATTGACAAGGTCACTCGGGTGGTTAAGAATCGGCGACAGGCCAACGAGGCCAAATCGAAGCTGACACCACTTGTATATTCTTGTAATAATATCTTTCCTCACTGGTTGGTGAATGACTTAGTTACGAATTTCTTTTAACTTAAATAACGATTCAATGTTCCTATGAACAGCTGAAATACTGCTATCTGACTCGAATTTCGATGTGCCCTCACTTGGATTCTGGCAGAGAGGGAAGGCTGCGAAGAGAATCCCTGTCTCCATAGAAGCGTGTCGTAGTAGAAAGACATTGTAAGGTCTCTTCTGGTGTCTACGGACGACCAGCCTGCAGGTGGCGCTGACGCAGTCATGTATGACACGTGAAGTGGGACGGTCACAAACAGCAAGCTTTGCTGACTCGACCCAATCTGAAAGTCATTAGAGCTCATCAACAGTTTGTTGCCAGCGTAATTCGTGTTGATGATCCGTGCAGCATGAGACATTAAGGGCTATTGACCGATGCAAAGTCAATATCGAGGTTCATTCTTCTGACATCGCCCTAAGGTGGGTATTGAGATAAATCATTATGTCCACCTCACCTGGTTGAAAAGTTGGATAATTTAATTCACCTGAGATTCTGATGTGATGGAGCCTCCACACTCATCCACGAGTTGCTTCATTGAGAACCAAGCCTCAAACTTCCAACGGCAAGTCTTCACGTCAAGATGTCGGTATAGCGACACGGCTCCGTCCTGTTGGTGAAAATCATGGTAACTTTCGAACCCTTGCAAATATACAATAAAAACTGTCATTACGTGTTTCAGGTTGTCCTGTGGCCTGGTTGGCATGTCAAATGTATCATTAAAAGTCTTGTGCACAAAACGAACTAAAACGGAAGCCATGTTTTGCAAATCCTCTATGGGCCTAAAAGCTATTTTAAAAAAAAGCTATTTTAAAAGCTATTTTAATAGATGATAGATAAATGTTGAACAATTAAAATCAGTAGATGATTACAATTAAATAGCTGATCAAGTGTTGACCAATCAAAATTTAAGTACACAAATTACAGGTTAGGCTAGATTTTTCTCTCGAAAATACTTGAGAGAGGCTTAATTCTAGACGGTTCATGAATAATTAATTACCTTCCGCAAATCGGAGTCCCACTGATACGGGAAAGCTTCGTCGACATCTTGATCGTGGGCTTCAGTGAAGGCGATTTGGTCGTGCAGGTTAGAACAAGCGTGATGATCACTTGCAAGTTTCTCGGTGAGGAGATAGTGGATGTTATTGAGAGGGATGGTGGAAAGCAAGGGCACCATACCTGCCACATGGGCGAGGTTGAGCTTAATATTGATAGTGTTTGGGTGCAACTCATCAGAGTCGTTAACGTATGTAATAGAGGCTTGTATGTCCGGCAGCGAGTACTTCAAAGACCTAAGGCGCGGACAAATGCTCTTTTCTCCAGAATAAATTTGGACTGCGTGGCTGTGTGACGCCGCACCTAATTGCCCTTTCTCATCCCTTACAGTCACCACGCATTTAACGGAGAAATTAGGCGAGAAGAACATAGAGTCCAAGACCTTATTGTCGGCACTAGAAAAAATGGTCGAATCTAGGAGCGTTTGATACGCCGAGAAGTTTTTGCCCTCGGTGGGAGCTGATACTTCCCACTCGTACTTCAAGGTAGATTTCTTTTCTCTTCCAAAGCCAATTTTATCACAGAGCCGTTTTAGAGTGCGATAGTGAGGGTATCGACTTTCGCATGGACTTACGCACACTAGAGGATAAGCTCCGTCGACAGTTAGTGTGATGTGTTCTGAAACTGCATCGTAGTGCGGCAGTGAAACCAACACGGGATTAGCAGGAAGCGCAAGTCGCGTCACATGGCCGCTTTTCAAGCGCGGGATGATGACGAGCGCGGCGGCAATGCTACCGGTACTGTCATTCTCTATAGACGTGGGTACGATGGCGCTAACTCCGTCCACTGAGCTCATGATAACGTAAAACTTCAATTCGCCGTCGGACTGAGCTTTTTTAATCTCAACCAGGAATTTGACTCTGCAAAGACACCCAGAATTGGTTCAAATTTCAATGAATTATAGTTTGCCATGTAAAATGTTAGTGGAGGTAAAGAGATATTTAAATCCATGAGCTAAAACTCTATCGAATTATAAACTATCTTGAATTAATATGTTATTGCTAAAAAATCAGACAATTCCTAAATGATAATCAGACAATTCCTAAATGATAATCAGACAATTCCTAAATGATAATCAGACAATTCCTAAAAAAACGATAATTTCTCACCGTTTCTGCTGAACATCGAAGTCAATGATGTCGTCAAGAGCCACGTAATGCAGACCAGCAATTGCAGTGGCGTCTTTAGAGATCACACGAACCCGGGAGATTTTTGAAATATCACCTTTGCGTTCGAGCTCAACAAACACTCGAGAAGTGTTTTCGCCATCTTGGATGGCTCGAGCAGTGTAGGTATCCTGCACAAAACTGATCTTTGGTTGATCTTCGGGATCCTCAATCCTTACGCGCAGCAGTTTGTGAGGACCCAGAGTAACGCGGAGGATTCCGTCACTCTCGGGATGTGCCAGTTTGACCAGCAACACTTCATTCTGCTCATACTTGTCATCATCAATGATATGAAGCCTGCATATAGCTCGTGACGCCCCAACGGGGAACGAAACGGTCGAGTTCTTGACTTTAGGTCGATCGACGTAATCAAGACCAGCAACTGCAGTTCTCTGTCTGGTGAAACAATTTACTTCAGCAACATGGCTCAAATTTCCAGAGCGCACAAGGGATATATCAATCAGACCCTGCGGTTCATTGACCACGGCCAAGTTTTCGTCGAATTGGATGACCGCGGAGTTTCTGCGGGCCATTGTCATTACTTTAGTAACAGAATCCGTGCTAGAGACTTTGCAGCTGTCCGATGTGACTAATCGAACAATGTACTCTCTCGTTCCTTCCGATTTGAAATGGTGAGAATCGAAGATGCAAGTACCAGTCACCGAACCAGGTTTCATAATCGTGTCGGTGATTTCCGTCTCCTCGGCATCATTGGTTGGATCTATCAGTTCGCAACGGGCATTGCATGCATAATCCAAGTCTACGCCACTCCTTTCGATCGCCACGTCGATATGTTCATTGCGCGAATCGAGGAATAGCGTACTATCCTTCATCTTGAGCACACTGACGTCATTGGGTCCATCAATGACAATGACACAGACTGATACATCTCCCAGGACTGAGTTCTGAGATGGATCTCTGAGCAGTAGCTGGAACGATTCGCGCGGCTCATGTTTTCTGTCGTCTAGAATCAGAACAACACACTGACCCTCCGTCTCTCCTGGACCAAATACAATTGCAGATGAATTTATAGGCGATCGACGCACGTAGTCATAACCCAACATGGAAACAGAATTTCCCCCAATCGCTGTGCCGTCATCAGTGATGCACATGACAGATGAAGATCTACTGATATCGCCTGACCTAACGATGCTGATGGACACGTTGCCATCAGTTTCCGTCGCCACAATTTCAGCAGACCTAAAACTCATTACTGACTGGCGCACGTTTTCTTCAGCAACTGACAAAGTTATGTTGCTCTCATTTGACACGATAGAACGACGCGGATTCTCCAACATTACCTTGAATGGCTTATATTTTTCATTGCTCAATAGATTTTCGATGTTAATTAAGCAGTCGGCTGACGATTGACCACTTGAAAACTTGGCAGTGCTCGACACTTGCCGTCTCCCATCAAAGTAAGAACACTCGACTGAAGATTCTCTCGTCAAGTCACCTATGCGGTTGACCACAACTCTCAAGGGGCTCAGTTGATTGCGGCTCACAGCTTGGGCACTTCTGTTGAATTTCAGCCAGGACCATCTGATGTGGAATTCTCCTGCATCCCTAACCACATCTTCCGAGTCGAACACAGTGAAGGCGAAACTATCTCGGTGAACTGGTGCTCTGGTAGAGCTCAACAGTACGTAAGACAGCTTGCCCAACTTCACGTCATCTGCAGGAAATATAACGTTAAAAAAATAGGCCAAAACCAGATGAGCATATTGTCATCAGTTTAAGAAAAAATTAATCAAAAATATTTATATCACTATATCATTGCCAAAATGTAAAGCCTTGCCTTTTGGGGCAATGTTCGCTTGGAATTAGCGAAAGGCAGACGCGAAATTCGCAGACTACAACCATGACTGCCTCCAGATTATCAAAATATGAAGACGCACTCGTTACCTCACCTTGCGTGAAGCTGGACACATTTTGACCGCGTAGCTGCAGTCGTCCAAAGTGCGGATGACGGGTGACAGAGAAGCGCGCCAAGGAAAGGGAAATACTCAGCATGGAGAGATCCAGACTCCCCGCCACCTGAGGGATGAATTTAGGTGGATTAAACGAGACAAAATTACAAGCACATCGATAAGTTTTATTTGCGTTTAATTTCAAGATTTTCGCTATCAACGCCGATGGATGCAAGCTACTAAATTTACAGTGAAATTACGCATATTTACGATGCGACGACAATAAAGATGGCTTTACAAATGCAACTAAGTAAATTTTCCTCATTCGACTAAAAAAACATGTTTTGCAAAATAGTTCTATCTGCAGATTGCAAAGAAAAATGCACGATGAACTGTTATTGGATATCTATCGACCCTTTAACGTCAACAAATTGAACGAGTAAATTTGGACTAATATAAAAAATGATCGCTGGTTAATATTATACTAATCAAACATTACCGTAAAGCTGTTTATGCTTGACTGGCGGTACAAGTTAACAAATAATCGAATGAATCCGAGTTGATAACATTACTGTGAGTTATTGACTGACTTACCTGCAAGAGAAGAAAGATAAAAGTTTTAAATTTCTATATAAACGAATCTAATTATTCGGCTTCAATATTACGTACACTTTTCTAGACAGGATTGTTTCGATAGAAGTACAACTTTTGAACACGGGCAAATATAATGAGTTCATGACAAGGTCAAAAATGATCGTCTCTGGAGAATTTTGCACAATACCGGCATCAATGATGTCATGATGATATACGCTTTTTACACACGTTTAGGAAAACAACTATTTTGACAAAGCACACGTACTTTTATGTGAAAATGTGGAATTGATGTTGGACTGTTTTGTTTATTGAATGCAATACGGTCCCATTTTTCAAGTCGTTCAATAGGTTTCAAAATGAAAGATAGCAAAAGAAAAAAGGTTTATTGGCAAAGAAACATCAGCAAGAAAATTACACTCCAGCAGGTACGGAAGATGACATGAAACCCGAAACACATTTACAGTTTGAAAACAACAAAGATTAGACACCCGAGCCTCCTGCAATCTTTCAGAAACTAGCAAGTAGTACAATGGACCATTTCACAATATGCAATGTATCTCATCGTATTAATTTATGCATAAGTGATGAAGATTTACTCTTGCTTCATGATTGCGCTGTGAACTTCATACTAAGTTTATGATGAATCCTAATTACACGTATGTTTAGACCACCGCCCCGTTATACTAAACCGGAAAACCATGACCGCTACAATTTTACAGCAAATATTTCGTGCAAGAGAAAGTAACGAAAACATACAAGTTGATTTCGATTGTACTCTATTTTCTATGCAAACACCTTTGATGACATTTGTAATATTGATGAAGTAAATTGCATGCACATTGACTACATTCATTCAACCAGAAAATAAGTGCTCATTCCGCAATACAATCGATATGAAGCATTCGCAGACGAACAAGATGTGATGATAATGAGCTTTTGTTTTTCCATTTTTATTTTTACTTACTCGAGAAATAAGAAGTATGATTGCAGTTATGTCTTTATTTCTGCTTGACTTCATCTAATTTTAAATGCAATAAAAGATAAAAATTCATGCATAAGTAACAATACTACAGAGTCCATGGATGCAGAAGTTTAATTTGTGGTAACAACAATCAAGCAACGATAGAATTATATATACTTTGAATCACTTTCAAAGTCCAACGAATAAAACCACGTTTAAAAAAGACAGAAGTATTTACATTATGTAATGCAAAATAACAGGAATGATCTTAGAGAGAAAATAGTTCCGCATTCATTAAGATATACCCGTAGTAGGTGTGCCAAAAATACTAAAATCTAAATGCATTCATGTAACTCTACACCCGTAAGTGCTCAACGCTACGTAAAATACAGAGTCATTTGATATGGGAAATAAGTTATCCTTCATAACAAAAAATACGATCAATGAACAAAAATAAGCGAGGTAGAAGCCTACAAGTTAGGATACATGCGGACCCCTTACTGCATACTGGAAACCGATTTGTACAGATTCATGTTTTACGAAAGTGCACTACACTTATGAATCATCCAAGTAATGATCCTCAAAGAGCATAAAGAAGTGATCAATTTGGAAGATACCAGCATGCAGCAGAAGCAGGAAGTAGAAAAGTCCGACGGAACGTCTGAAGGGACACAAGATGGTAAAGTGCGATACCTGGCCATCCTGACGGCGTTCGAGGAACGTCAGACCCTGGTTGACGAGGGTCGTCTCGGATGACGAAGGCGGCGGTGCTGGTGCAGGAGCAACGACCTCCCGAAGACGCACCTCAATGCGCACCAATGCCACCGACGTGTTGGTGCGCGGTCCGGCGAGAGGGCCACGAGTATCGCTCACAGACACTTTGAAGGAGTCCGAGGATGTGTAGGTATCGTCGTGAAAGTAACTCAGTCGACCATCTTGTACATCGTCCATGGAAAATTCCTATGGACAAACGATACAACAAAGGAGTTAAAAATGAAAATTGGAAGTCATTATGATCATATCCAACAAGCATCACAGAAAAATTATTCTTATAAAACGCTTCAACTTGACTCACATTTTTCAATTAACGGTTAAAGATTCAAGGGAGAATGTTAAATATGTTTTCCCTACCGTGATCCGCCGCCACAGCTCGGGGTTTCCGTTGCTGAGTTTGAGACTGCCATTCGTCGGAGGGGAAGTCACGCGAAAAATGATCTTGTCATCAGGAGTATCCAAATCCTTGGCTTCCAAGTTATCCACTGTTATCAAAGTCGAGGTTCCTTGTGACAAACGCACAGGATTTCTGGCTACAACAATCGGGTCTTGGTCATCCACCGGGGAAATGAGAATAGGCAGAACTTGGCTCTCAGTTTCGTGTTTTCTATTGGTAAAGAAGAGAGAAATTTGTGCTTATATGATATATAATATACTAATATGATATATAATAATAATGATATGATATATTGATATACAATAATAATGATATAATACTATTGAGTAGAGAAGCGGAAAATGATATTCCGTTTTTCTACTTATTGTCTTTATCAAAACTATCAAACACATTGATAATGGTGGTGTACCTATTAATTCAAAAGAACGTGTCATCTCATTAATTAATAAATCATTGCTTACAACATTTCGTGTTAGGTGTGATGACAAAATTGTCTCTTTGACGCGTAATAATCTATTACATAAGCATTCGAAAATATTTAAACTCGACGATATGTACAAATTCCAGCTTTTAAAATTTATGAATTGGGGTACGCACACAGTGAAAGCAGGTTTGCCTGCGCGGGCAACCTGCTCCAACCTGCCACAAGAATGAACATAGGATAATAATGTAAGTGTTCACAGCGAAAACCTGTACGAATAGGCTTCTGTATTCTATGGTTTCAGGCGCCAGCCTGAGCAGGTAACCAGCACGCTGCAGGCAACCTGTTTTCACTGTGTGCGTACCCTAAGAAACTTTTCCATGATGATCGCATTTTCGAATCTGCGTTCGCCTCTCTTCTTCAACTAACCCATAATACCAGGGTTATACGCTTTAACTTACCCCCGGTTCGGTTAGAAATTGAAAAAAACGGTTGAGGTTTTAATTGTGTAAAATATTTTAATAAACTGCCTTGCTGATGATTGCAAAATAGATTGTTCCAAATTCCTTTTTGAAGACTAAATTCAGTAATTTTATTCATACTAAATATTAATTGGACTTGGATTATCTTGCAAGATTAATAGCAGTTCGACGTACTGTTTCAATTACACTCTATTTTTCAGTGCAATGCTGATTTTGCCTTAGATATGCTTGCTTATAGTGAGGTTTTTGTAATGGATGTGTTCATTTTGAGAAACTTTCTGTCGTTCTTATCTTTATCGTATTATCATTTGAATAGGGAGCCTGCAAATGAACATTCATTCGGAAGCTTTTGCTATTTTATTTCGTGCTCCTTTCTATTGCATTGCGTTGTATGCTACAGTTTGTGAATAAACAATAATAAATAAATAAAATAATAGAGCTGTTGAAGTCTTAACATGACATTCGATAAGAAGGGTTTTATCGCTTTGAATTGAAGCTGCACTCGGCTGAACACAACCCATCATATCTAACAAAACAACATGGAGCCCTTCCAGCAAATAAAAAGAATTTCGTGTTCTAGTATTCTATTTCGATATAAATATTCGTACTAAATCAAGATTTACGGGAATGCATATGTCCAAAGAACCAAATAATGAATTCATAGAAGACAAGATAAATATTGCCCTCGAATTTTAACTCACCCATCAGTCACAGTAAACGATATGAAATCTTCGCGAGCCTCGATAGAACTGTTCTGTATGTACGTCAGACGGCCGGAGTTGATGTCGCGCTGAGTCCAGCTCTTGACAGCCCCTGGAGCCTCCCCCCGCAGCGCCAGGGACCCTTTGGTCGGCCCAGTCATGAGCTGGGAACAATAACAACTTAATTTTTAGCTCCCAGATGGTGATCCATATTCCATGAAAATTGCTTTCGTTGCGAAACGTTTTCATCCTTAACGTTTCCTTAAAAAAAATCGCAGTAAATAATTTAGGTGCCATGGTGTGACTCCTTTACCCAAATTCTCAATGATATTTGAATCAATTATAGTTCTAATTTCTATATGCAGGTTATACAAGCAGCTGAAAGCTACTCAAGGCTGCTTCATGCCAACAGTATGAACAATCAGAGCAGAATCCTTAATTTTAATTTATATTGTATGATCATACAAAAATATTTAAATGAACCACCTAACCTTGTAAATAACATCGGTGTTGGGTGATCCCTCTTTCTGCCACTCAAGACTGCTTCGTGTGATGGTCGTCTTAGAGTTCTCCTCCACCAGGAGGCTCTCAAAAGATACCGGTTGAGGTAATGCATCGTCTGGCAAGACTTGAATTTTAATTTTTTGGTTCAAAAGACTCTCTACGCGCACAGCATCGTCGGCAGGAACGACATGCACGTCAAGTAGAAACTCGTCAGGCGCTACACCACTGCGCGCGTTGTGCGAGTACCTGAAGCGATTGCAACATTTTTCTATACAATATCTTGACAAATTTTCCAGTTGGTTAAAGTACCTATTTGAATTATAATTCAACATTAAAATAGTAATGTGATCTATTTCATTTGAAACCTGGAGATTTGGTTATTATTCAATGTACTAGGCTTGAAGATTGGAAGCAAGTTTATCTCAAGTGGAAATTTTTTTTCGAATTTAGTATATTGACTGTTTAAAATAAATCCATGAAAATTCTATCTTAAAATTAACGTGGATAACATAATTATTTATTTTATACTTAAGAATGATTAATGAAATTAATTTAAAAACTTAAAAATTAAATTAAGTTAAATTAAATTAAAGGTAATAGAGTATATACTGTAATTAGTAAACTTCAAGTTAATTATCTGCAAACGCAAATTTGTAGAAAGATTTTAAATTTAAATAAATATTAGAATACGAGCAATTAGTACACTCACCGGATTAAGTTGTCATCGAGATGCGCCTGCAGAAAGTCATCGCCAGATCTGAGAGGCCTCCAGCCTTGAGTGGCCGGGAAGTGCCTCTCGAGGACACCTCTGAGGGGCGCTTTACTGATCACAAACTCAATGGCGTTAGAAGATCCGCCATCAGCAGGCAGGCTGTCAACGACTGCCAGAAGCTGCATGCTAGTGATGACGGTTGAACGGCCTTCCGTCACCGAGAGAGTTTGTTTTCGCAGTAGACGAGGAGTCGAGACTTTCGGCGCTACCTCAGACGATGATGACTCCAGCTTCGTCACGTCCTCGATCAAGAGTTCTAACTCGCCGCCAGATTCTTGGACGCCGTCACTGACCTGTATGCAATACATATTTAAGTCTAGATTTCTTATCAGAATAGATAAACTAAAGTTGGTTTATAACTAATAATTATTCGGTTGTGAAAGTGAACAATTATTTCTACTTATGACATATCCACTAGACAAGCGGAAATCCTTTCCGCATTATCTTATCTGTCAAAAATAATTTAGATGCATTAGTTAACAAAGATTCAAGATAACAATTGGAATCACAATAAGTACATAGAAACAGTGAGCAGTAAACCTTAATTTCAAGCGAGTCCCTCTCAGTATTGGACCCATCGTGCTCATAGAACAGACGGCCGCTGGAGACGTCCTCCAGAGTGATTACTTGTCCAGCCTGCAGCGCCAGACTGTTTTTCAGGTCCCCAGATGGCTGCTGGTTCAGGTACAGCGTACCTGCATCGCCCATAGAATAAATTAATTGGTGCTGCAGTGATTGTGGAATACTGTAGCCTGTATTTGCTTACCTGGTAAATTTTGGGAGATTAGGGTTGAGCAAATTGGTTTAATAATTGATTTCGTGTTCTTAATAGAAGTCAAATGTTATAGAGGTTTACCAATAATGAGCTATGAAATTGTCTCGCATCAAAAGTTACAATATAACCGACACTGAAAAGGGTTAAGATTTGTTTTAGCAGGTGAGCTGGGGCAGAGTTACTGGCTTGGAGAGACGAATAGCGAAGAAGGAACAGATGAACAGAAACACACTTTTACAAGAAGCAGTTTCCAAGAGACAGAGAAGTGGCATGCAGTGAATACTGCCTACATGACAACTCAACCCCACAAATGGGACCCGTCACAGTTCGCAAGCTCTGTGGTTTGGAGCTTACGAACAATGCCCTTTGGAACATAAAATTTAATTTGGATCGGCGAATTTTCAAGTCAGAACACCCACTGAGAAAAGTATGGCAACAGTAAAGTTAATGAGGCACAATAGTATATAAGATGAACCATCTCCGAAGCTCAACAATTTTTTACAAAATAGGGTGGGAGTTATATCCGAAAATAAGCTCATCATGCCAAAAGGACTTCCTGTGCAACTGAAACGATACCGTAGTGAAAACGATAACCCTCTTCTAAATTTTCGCAGTATCGACGATGATGGTTTGATTATCTACAGGCACAAACCGTGTTGCGGCAGCCTTGATACGGTGATGCTGAGGCTGTTCTGCGGCGTGTCATCATCAGTGGCCGTGATGCTCGTATCACCGAGGACGATGGCAGCACCGCGCTGCACGACGACGCTGTACAACTCCAGCACCGGACGCTCGTCGTCAATCGGCTACGCAAGAAAGATTGCAAGAATTGAAGATTCCCAGCGACCAGTTTCTTTAAATTTTCTCTATTGCAAGAGGAATAAGCAATTTTCATACTTGTACAATATCGTTTAAATCCTAAAATAAAATGGTTAGGTTACCTACTCTTGCGGTCGGCAATTCTTCAACGCTACTGTCGGCCATGAGTATCATACGTGGTTGGAATTGCAATACATGTAACGTTTCTTGTGTGGAGGCTTATCCCAGTCACTCGTAAGAGTGTAACAATTTTTAAATGAGGGCAACGTGCAGCCGGCAGTGATATGTCAAAGCAACTTATGGTGATGGAGATGTTCAGATGCCAGCTTACGGCCACAACAACTTGCATTACTTGCATTTTGGAGAAGTCTTTACGGCAACATATGCCGCACAAACTTACAGTGACGGGGAATTTCATTCGGCAACTTAGGGTCTCTGCAACTTACATTGATTGAGATGTTCGTACGTCAGCGTACGGCCACAGCCGCTTACGGTGATGGAGAAGATCATAAGGCAGTGTACGGCCACAATACTCACGGTGAAATAGATGCTCATAAGTTGCCGCATGCAGCATAACAACTTACGGTGATGGAGATGTTCATGCGGAAGCTCTGAGTGTTTCGTAGTCCATCTGTCACGAAGAAAATTATAGCGTCGCGGCGCGGCTCCTGATGCAGGTGTTGCGATTGCCGGTAGAAGAGGCTACCGTCGCTCAGCGCCGACAGAGGGAACTGAGATATTCCCGTTTCCGGCCCTCCTGCAACGAAAGGATGTGAAAACAAATGAATTGATTCCCATGGATGAGACTTAATAGTTTCCCCCAAAGAAGAAATTTTCGAAACAAACACGATTGGAATGAAGAAAACAAAGACACCTATGAAGTTTAATTACAACGAGAGAAACACGAAATTCATGAACAACGTTATTCATTATCATACAGGAATATCAATAATGCGTCACAATGTCAATGAAAGATTTTATCGATCAGTGGTAATTTCTATATAATGTTAATAAATCGAAGCGTTAAAAAACAATCGCGTAGGGCAAATGATATAATCATATTTAGAATTTAAACTGATTACATTGAACGAGCGAGTAGACACTGGCAACAATCACAAACCCTTTGCGTCGTGACTGATGTAGCCATAGACAGGAGGCACCACAAGCATCACCCTGAGTTTGGATGACGGGGTGTCGGCATCTCGCACCCTCAGGAGCCCCAGGGGCAGCGTCACAACTCCGCCTTCAGGCACTGCCAATTCACCGATGTCACCGAGCGACATTTCAGGAGGTTGGTTGTCCACAGGCAGAACCGTAATGTTGAACTTCTGTTGGCGGAAGTGGATCAGTTTTTATTACGACATATACTTTTTATAAGCGTATTTTTATTTATTTTTTTATTTTATTGTACTGTATACTGAAGTTGAATATTGTACTTTCGACCAAATTATTAAAATTTTGACGGGATTTTTCATGAAGTATTCTTGCTGCGTAGTTGAGATCAACAACAAAATATCTCCGTGTGATAAAATAAGAGGCTCTCTGAAGCCAATTTCATCACAAATATTTCGTATTATTCGCTTTTGGTAACATAGAAGCACAGTAAATAATTTCCAAGCGAATCGTATTCAATTATAAAATTATTACAATAACTTGCATTAGCCAGCGTTACAGACCTGGTCCCGGAGGACGTTATTACTGGGGTCCGTGACGTTGAAAATAACGACATCATGAACCTCTCTCGGCCCAATGTCAACGTCGGCGGAGAAGATAAGTTTGCCTTCCATGATGTCCTGCTGTGTGAACTTGTGGGTGACATTTAGGGTGCGCGACGTTTGTCCGGGGTATGCAAGCATGAGGGAGCCATGACGGGGGACAGAGGCTAGGGTGTAAACGAGTTCAGGGTGACTCGAGTGAAGATCGTTGTAGTAGATCACTGATGGAGACACCATCGTCGAGGAGCCTGTGTGGTCCGAGTTGTGAATAAAGATCGTCAAGTTTCAAGACAGAGCTCAGAAATTTCGAGATCTAATTCGATATGACGATATCCCAAAGGTCAGAAATTATCCTTATTAAGGACCATAAACTCCTCCAGATCTGCAGCAATAGCACTTTTAAATTAATAATAATTTCTGTTTTAAGTTTTCATTGTGATTTGGAATCTCAAAATGTCTTAGCCAGATACTCTCACTAATATTATTAATCGAAACTTTTCCATTAATCTTATTCGTACAATACCTTCATTATCCATTTTATTATCTTCTCCTTTACCCTTTTTTATTTCCATTATAAACAAGGAAATAAACAAGGGTAAAGGAGAAGATAATAAAATGGATAATGAAGGTATTGTACGAATAAGATTAATGGAAAAGTTTCGATTAATAATATTAGTGAGAGTATCTGGCTAAGACATTTTGAGATTCCAAATCACAATGAAAACTTAAAACAGAAATTATTATTAAAGAACTCAGTGACCATTTATATAGAGTCTATGGGCTTGAATTCTGATCAATGGCATTTGATTGGGAAATAAAGCTATATTGGCATTACTAAAATATGTATTTAATTATATTTAGCTTTATATAATTCAATATAAGTGCTAAACCATAGACACTATCGGCGTAACGCCCGTTAACTAGGTAAACAGCTTTACCTTCTTCAACTTGGATGGCGAAGGAGGCTGATGGTGAAGGCTCAGGTGTGAGGTTGTCCTCCTGTTCAACAAAGAAACTGATTTTCTTAACGGCCTCTGAAGCCTGTCCGAGGGCCAGCAGAGTCGCCGTATCGCTGATAGAGTCGGAGCCGGAATGCTGGTAGCGAATCCGGGAATTTCTAACATCCGCCATTGTCAAGCTGACCTCTACAATAAAAGGGAAACCAATAATTTAATGAAAGAAATCTTTCACAATAAAAAAAAAATATTTTAGAAATAAAAGTATTGAAAATTTAAAAAACAAAAGAGATAATCGCATGAAAATACAGAAAAAAGAACAAATAAACGTAGAAAACGGTAAGAGCTCATGTTCAGATGGAAGAAATGAACGAGTTAAGGGAATACTTACGGAACCGCTGGCTTTAAAAATTCAGACATAAAGCCTTTTTGCCAAGTATTAAAACCTTTAGTGTAAAACACTTAGAAGTTATTTTTTCGTCTTCTGATGTCACATGTTCCCTAATATGTTTATAAAGAAGGATTCGGCAACTCGAAGACAATAAAGGTTTCAAAAATAATACAATACAGAATACACGAACACAATAATGGTTTCATTCTTCAGAAAAGCAAACAAAAAATATCCCAAACATTGCTTTGTAATAAGAATTTCCAAATAAAAAGAGTTAAACTTGATATCTATACATTGATAACAAACTAATACTCATTATGTTGAAAACAGATAAGCACCAACAAAAATATCAATGTTAAAATATCTGATATGTTCTAATTTTGATGGAACATGTTAAATCTAATTTATTCGAACCCTTAGTGAAGGGAACATCAGCCAACGACCCGCCGCTGGTGAAGGGCGTGATGACGAGGCGGCCGTGCTGAGGCGGTTCCTGCAGCACGAAGAACACCCGCTCGTCCACGCCGTCGTCTGCCAGCTGGAACACGCTGGGACCGAGCTCCACGCTGCCGTGCTGTCAAGATGACAGAAATTTGCCATTTACACAAATATTTCTGGGATATATTCTCGCACTTACGATATAACGAAATCTAGAACTATTGGCCGCTACTTTTGAGGACCTTTAATAGATCACTCGAAACAAACGTTTTCTAGGTATTGACATTTGTTTCGGGTAATATCCGTCATATTTGCTTTGCCTTCGTTCGTTGAGAACGAACTGAATGGTTGGAATGTTTTAATATAGTCACATAGAATATATGTTTGGTCAAGACGCAATTGAAGTCTTTATAGAAGCGCGAGCATAATGATTCTCATTAGTGGACTTCATGTTCATAAAAATTTCTTGCTTTATTGGATACCAATTTCTGGCAAATGTTCAGACATGACCGCTTCTCTTGAGAAGCCCTACAGAATTATTGCAGCACGGAAAATAATTCGGATCTAGAGTTGCCAAGGAAAAATATAGAATGAAAAGCAGTTTCTCTAATTTGGCCACAATACCTCAATTCGATTGAAATACTCAAAATACGAGCAAAAAAAAGTGTACTAACAGCAGCAACGAGCAGAGTGGGATCAGGTTCGGCAAAAGAAATTTCCTCCGCAACTTTAGGAATAACGCGGATGTTGATCTTGTGCTCCGGACGACCTGCTAAGTCGTTGCCTGCAGAACCGTCTGAAACTGACAAGCGAGGACAGAAATTAGAATCCAAAAGCCATTACAATGGCGATAATTATACATAGTTAGGTGTGTAAATAAGCGACACATTAAAATAAGAACATTTACCAATTCTCCAATTCTTGATATTCATTAAATAACATTTATGTATTCGGAAAATAACGTTTTTATTCACAAAACATGCAAGCAGTCGTACCTTTGAATTTGAAGCTGTACACTTTCTCAGAAGGTCCGATACTCGCGAAAGGCGGCAGGTAAATAATCTTAAGACTGTCCACGTCGAATTGTGTGAATTCTCGGAGTTCAAGGCCCGGGGAGTCGATGTGGAAGAGAACGCCTTCATCAGGCCCCAGCGGCCTCGTGATGGAGTACAGGATTTGATGCTTGGACACCGTCGAGCCAGGGTAAAAATTCAGTTCGGCCGAAGTAAAGGTTAGAGCTTGGCCCTCGTAAACCTATTGAAAATAAGTACTAATGAATAACAAGGAATTGTTTCATTAATTTTAAAATAGCACTTGATCTATTTTACTATCCTGTTCATGTCATATTTTAATTACTCTGATCATGACGTCCAGATCGAGTGACTGCTAATTCTTTCAGGGCCAAAATATTCGAGATATACGAATATAAACGTTAATTTTCTTACTAAATTATCACATTCTACTCTCCAATCATAATCAAATAATAGAAACTTGTTCTTAGGTTACCAGAATAATTTGACGCATAATTAATCTGTACGTAAACTGAGAATCAATGGCAAAAATTTCTTAAATAAAATTTTATTCAATTCGTATGAGTCGCAGAATTAAATTACTGACTCCAAACACCAAGCTCATTCATCAAAGTATTAATGAACATTTCAGCGATGACTACCGGGAAAAAGTTTTCTATCCGACAATGAAATTCTTAGAGAAGAAATACCGTGTAGAAAAACTCGCCTCAAATTGAAGGTCATTTTCTTTTTTGGTGTCATTGACGACCAGAGCGGCGGCGGGCTCCTCGATGTGCACCACGAAGGTTTGGTCTTGCAATACATTCGGAGGCTCAGAGGAGTCGGAAACTGAGAACAAAATAACTTCAGAGTACGCCGAGTCCGTTGACGCTTCTAAACCAGAACCATATTCATAATGTGCGCCGCGTCGGTCCGAGGAGTCAGGATAGGCGTATCCTTTCGTGGGTTCGACTTTGACATTTTTTGTGTCAGAAGTTACATACCAAACTCTGCCTTCGTTCAAGTCACGTTGGGAGAAGCTCATGGTTGGGCGCAATAAATGCGACTCGTCCATTTGGATCCAACCGTCGTTATAGAATCCAGCGGCCACCGGAGGAAGAGGAATCACCAACACAAACTCACCTGGGTATGATCAGAAGAAAGAATATTTAAGAGGCAGACATGAATCCTGTCAATGACTTTACGCTAAATACAAGAAATTCGTATATGACTTAGTCAAATTCTAAACGATGATTGATTCCCTTTCACCAAAATGAAAAGCTGGTTATAATGAGAAACATGAGCATATAATTGGCCGAGTCTCACCAGTAGCGCGTTCGCCGGAGGCGGCAGGGACAACGCTGTAGATCAAAGTTTCGTCCCTGGAATCTACGTCACGCACTCGAAGAACGTCTGGAGTGATTTGCTTGCGTTGCCCCTTGGCGATTGTTATTCCTTTATTAGTAATCATGATAGGAGCTGGCCTGTTCTGATCGACGAAAAGAATATGAAGTCTAAAGTTAACGACATTATGGCCATCGTTGGCTTGTAGCAAGACTTGATCGCTAACTACCGGAACGGACTTTACACTTGGCTCGCTATTTATGTAGATCACTGCATTGTTAGACAATTCCTCAAGGCTGAATAGAGCAAGGTCTTCGTCGTCGATAGTGAGTCTTCCATATTCAGGACCATCCCGAACACGGACATTAACGGCTTCTGGGCTGTCCTGATCTATGAGACGCAAAATATCTTTGGTGACAGTGGCTTTTCCTCCACGTCGTACAATCAGCGGTTCATTGACCACCACATGAGGTTTGTAAGAAGACACAACGTTGATAGATACAATTGTTGGGTTCGTCGTGAACTTACCATCGTAAAGTTCTAAAGTCATCTCTCCATAAAAAGATGAACCTCTTTGATGCTGAAATATTATACGACCTTCTCTCAAATCCTTTGCTGAGAACTTCGAATCGTTGTGCAGAACACTGTGGATACCTTTGCCTACTCTGTATAAATATCCATTTGCCGGTTCAGCTTTTACAGTAATAATTAAATCTTCCTCGTCAGTGTCTCGATCAAATATGTGGATAACTGATGAATTGAAGACTCGAGGACCTCCATATTCAACGACCAACGGACTCAACAAGTTCATGATGGGCTGATAAACGTTACTTGCGCATGTTGACACGTTGCGCGCGATGACGTGGTAGTTCTCACTACAGGCCATGACACACAAACCGTTCTGTACGAAGTACGACTCCTCGCATTCCAGGCACTTGTATTCAGAACACATCAGGCAGTTTTCAGTGCATCCTGAAAACATTAAATCGTGCATAAATTTCACAGAAAATGCAATTACAATATCAAGTTATTCTCGGAGGTTTATTACTTAGTCAAAATGAATGGAAAGGAAGTTGCAAGAAAAATGCGCACCGTAACAATTGATACCATAAATGAATAAATGAATTCAACATGGTGAGTGCGATACGAACCAACCCACCAGGGTTGGCAGATGGCCTAAAACCGGCTAAGTCAGCGGACAAAAAAAAAAAAAAACAGCGGACAGCGGCTTTTAATGCAATAATTCAATATTAACTAGAATATTTGTATCTTCCGGTGCAAAAATTCAATGTTCCTGTACTCTGTAATATTCGAAATTTAATAAGTACAGCCATCATAAAGTATTGCCTTCCTACACAAATGAAAAAAAATAACGTGCGAAATTTATCCGGGAAAAAAGACCCTGCAACCCGCCGGTGGGTGGTATCGCACTCAACGAGTAAAAACCCCAACAGTAACGAAAATTTTCTCATTACACTTATTAAATACAGTTGCTTACGATATTAAAAGTTTTCTCCGATATTATTTGACTTATAAATATATACTAGTTAAATGTTTAAAGAAGGTAACTATTTAAATGCCTCACTAGCACAAGCTTGGTCCCAGAGGTTGACAGTGGTGCCGTCCGGGCAGTCTGTAAGGCAGCGGCCGTCGGAGAGAAGGTAGGGAGGCAGGCAAGAGTGGCATACGACGGTGTCAGCAGTGTCACCCCTGATGCACTGACGACAGCCTGATGGACAGCGCACGCACTGTCTTGTCTCCGGAGACGCGTAAAAGCCTGCCAAGATGACATATAAGAATAATAATCAAATGCCAGGAAAAAATAAGAATTTGTAATCACGCAATCGATTTGGTTGAAAGGCTGAGAATATGACTAAGTAGGCATTTGCATCACTCGTACATGCAGGTGCAGCATGCGCGACGTAAAACTAATATGGTGGCGGGTCCTCGCATTATATATTTAAAACTTAAAAATAGACAAGCAATGAAGCTTACATATGTGAAGACAATATTAGAGAAGACAGCTGCTTAATCTCTATTCTGCAGGTCCAGGAGAGAATAAAGCCATCAATGTCTTGTATTTCAATAAGCGTGGGCACCGAAGTGGCTTACACATGGAACCCAAATGCGGGCTTATACTGAACTTGCTCTAGTGGACATAGTACAATAGTACTGCCCAGCAACAGGACTGGTAGACTAGGGAGCATGTACCAAATAAATGTCTAAGTAAGCAATGGAAGTTGAAAATAAATGTTGTGATTTTCATCGGTCGGAATGCATGCAGCGAATTGGAAATACCGACTCAGCAATCAAGATCAAGCGTAAGTGAGATTGTCAAGGCTTTCCCGCTCCCATGAAAACTAAATGACTCGAAACTGGTTTCAAAATTGAAATAAAGAATATTTACTGACCGGGCGAGCAGGACCTGACGCAGGTGTTGTCTTCTCTAAGGCTTCCTGGGGCGCACTCAAGGCAGTCCCTAGGGCTGGGTCCGAGGCACCCGCTGCAGGAGTAGTGACATTCTTCGCACACGCCTTCAGACGCGGTATAATAAGGGGCGTTCTCAAGGGGCACCGTGACGGTATTGTTTAGGTAGTATTTAACCCCGCAGTTTAAGACACATTGTCCTTGCAGGAAGAATTTGCCGCGCTTGCAGGAGATGCAAGAAGTCGAGTCCCCCACGCAACCGAGGCAGCTGGCTGAGCATTGCTCGCAGGTACCATCCGAAGACTTGAAGAAACCGACGTCGCAACCTTCTTCCGAACACGAGTTCTGCCGACAGAATTGTCGGTGGGGTGGAAAAGCATAGTTGTGAAATTCTACAGTCAATAATTAGACATGCGTTTATTAGTAGAATATGTTCAATTGTTTAAAGAAATGGATCAGAACCCACAGCTGAACGAATGACTGGGGGTAACTAATCAGCACAAACAGCATAGAATTTTTCCCTTTAATAAAAAATTGAGGCTAACGAGCGAGAAAATTCAAAATATGTATTTTTTATCAATTACTAATATCAATTACTAATACTAATCCAATCATTCCTATGAAATTATTAGTAAATCACGAGATGGGTACTAACGTGCATCGTAAGATGGAGGCCCGGTTTGCACTTGGTGCACCGGAAAGGTCCAGGTCCATCGCATTCCTCGCAAGTGAAGTGGCAGCGCTCGCAGGTACCGCGAGAAGCGTAAACGAAGCCAACGTCAGACGCAACAGAATTTTGCTGGTAACCCAGGGAGCTCTCATAGAAACCTGGCGAGCAGCGCTGGACACAATGGTCGTCCTGCAGCAGCGAACGGTTGTCCTTGCACTCGACGCATCGAGAGGAGGGCGTCGAGTGCGGCGAGAGGGAGGCGACGGAAGCTACGCAAGCGTCGCAGCTCGAGTGACAAGCTGTGGATCGTTAATTTCATTTGAATTAGTCGCATCTCTGTGCTCGGATAAATATTGATTTATTCAAACAAATTCAATAGCATTTTAAAATTTACACTGAGAACGTGGCCTAGTTGTGTCGTCTGCTATATTACAGAAGTTGTTACTAATGCATATTTTACTATTTGCTAATAAGAAGAATTGTGAAGTCACAGCCATACTCTATTTCTATACACGACTGTAATAATCCTCCGATCCTTTGCTTATTCCCAACCTATGAATTGAAGTGATATCTTCATCCACAGAGTTTTCCGTCCATTATTAAATGAGACAGACAGTGAAACAATTGAAATTATTTAAAGCCTTCCATTGATATTCCTGGACACTCTCACAGCTTGGACGACAATTTAATTCAAACAGAAAAGTCAATTATAGAATTTTCAAATATAACTTGAACTGCATATATATGAAAACTTATTGGTGAGAGCAGTAACTACTGACGAAGGCAGGTGAGATCAGGAGCGAGGTAGTGGCGCTCGCGGCATTTGGTGAGGCACGTCGTGGCTGTCGGGTCGGACGGTCGTCGGAAGATCGTCGCGAGCGGCGGACAAGCGGTGCATGCATACCGGCCGTCACCGGAACACGTCGCGCAGCGGGCGTCGCAAGCTGAGGGAAGTACCATGTTAAGCATATGACATTCAGTCAACTCCATGTGTTACTGAATTAGTTTTAGTCTAAAAAAGAATTGTACGATTCGAGTAGCTTTCTGAAAGTAGTTAAATACATAGTTAAGCATAAGTAGCACAAGTTATAGTTATAGTTATATAGTAGTTATAAGTTATAGTTATAGTTATATAGTAGCATAAGTTGAGTTTTTCGCGATCCTATAATATTTTATAGGGTAATACGGTAGTGGCGTAAATTAAACTCAAGTATCAACGCTATAACATTTCAACATGAATAATGCCACAATGTGATATATGTGGCATTCATATTATCATGAACAGTGGATATAGGATGTATAAATTTCAAATTGAAAAAATTCAAAAGAAGTAGTTAAATCGTGATACCTACATTAAAAGGATGTCTTTAAAGAAACTTTAAAAATATTGCCATCTGTATTATTATTTAAAGACTCAAAATATGTGGAAAATAACTACGAAACCCATGTATCATAAGGTTGCTCTTGAAACACTTGCTAGTTGAAGGTATAAAAAAATCATGTCTGCACAAGTAAAAGATGTTGCAATGAAAGCAACGATAAACATGGCGCATTAAAAGTAGAAAAATATAGCATGGATGAGCAATGATCAACATGGGATCTAGTAATGATCAACACGGGATATAAAGCTGAACTCAATGGTAATAAAACTTATTAAAACACTTACCCAGACAAGCTCCCTCCTTCTCATGATAGCCTGGTGGGCACTCGCTGACGCAGGCGTCACCAAGCATCACCCAGCCCGGCGCGCACTCCTGACACTCGTAAGGCAAGGAGCTCGAGTAGTTCGAGCACGAATTGGACCCTGCGATGACAAAGACATTTTAACGACTAATATATTGACACGAGCTCCCTCCATGCACAGTCATGCCACCGTGGTAGGTGAAATAGGGTTTAGAGACTCTCGCTAATACATGCACACTGCGCAATTATCGCGAGAAACTAATCATGAGATCTTAAATTATGATGAGTGTTCATCTCACCTAACTATTTTGTAAAGTAGGAGCATTCGTAACTGTAATATTTAGATTTAGTTGAATCTTACATATGAATTAGCGATTGGATTGGCCGATTTTAAACTCGGCAAAACTGCAATCATAATGATTTAAATATAGCAAACACAAACAAATTTTTCCATCCGTTCAGAATTTACACAAATTAAATAATTCGGAAATCAAACTAACTTTTCCCTCTTAAGCGAATTTTAACTTTGATGCCCAAACAAAATATTCACCTAAATCGCAATTGATTCCTACTGTAAAGAAGAGAGAAAGAAAATTTAATTTTTCTGTAGGAAATCGATCAATAACTTTCTTCGTTGAGAACAAGATAGTATTATTGATGCCTGAGACTAACCGAAACAAATGTTGTCATGAGTAACGAAGTTGCGGGGACAGCTAGAGACACAGCGGCCCTCACTGGAGTCGTCCTCCAGCACCAGCACCAGGGCGCTGGAGCAAGACGTGCAGCTGCGAAGTGAACGCGGGAACACTCGATTCAATAGCCGGTTACTGGTGATTGTGATGAGTGATAAGGTATAGTGGTTCAATGGCGACAATTTCTTGAAAATTTTACGATATAAGCGTATGAAAACCAAAACTGGCCATGTATATGAGTTGGGCCGTCTTTTAACTTGTTTCTCTATTAGTTACGTACTTTACCAAAATCAATTTTTGTATGTAAAACTTAATTATTATAATTACAACTGTGTCGGCAACTTTCTCAAATCATATAAGTCATGAATAATTTACGTTTTAGTGGTTAGTTTGTAATGTTCGTTTCAATGTTATCATTACTTATATTACTGATGTTAAAGAACATGTTGACGAACGAGACCGTTTGGTTCACTTTCTTGCTCGACTTACCAGCCGTTTCAACATTCTATTCATTTCCTATAACGTAACACCTTTCTTGTATCACGGTAACGTACCATTCATCATTGTACATGCTTTTGGTATGTACATTGTACATACTTGGTACCATTCATCATTGTACATCATTGTACATCACGAGATCGAAATTGCTAATTTAGGAAAACCCGACACCATAATAGTATCCATGCTACCATCCGACTCGCTAGATACTGACTGATGGGCGTCGGGTCCCCGACACTCGAAGCAAGAGACGTGGCATGGGTGGCAGGTGCCGCCCTGCTCGTAGGAGCCTGCAGGGCACGTGACGAAGCATGACGCCTCGTGCAAGTGCATATGCGGGGCACAGCTGGTGCAGGAAGAGATGCCAGGACCAGAGCAGCTGGCGCAGTGAGGGTGGCATTCTGGGGGATGCATAAAATCTTGGTATGCTGAGGAGATGATTGATGATGTGAATTGGTTGTTGAAAAACGCTTTTCACAAACGTGCCTGGATTTATTAGCGGATTAAGTTGATACAATTAGTTTATGTGTGCGTTATTTCACGCACCGTACAAGACAATAAAGAATAATGTGACAAGTATTAAGACCCGTATATAAAAATATAATTCAATCATTGTAGCAGAGGTTTTTCGATTAAACACGAGTCCCTGAATAAAACTAATGGCTGGGACATGAAATGTAGTTGATTCCTCCTTCGTATAAGCATAAATGAATCAATAAGATGCACAATATATGGGTTTTTATCCTAGAGACCTACTAAGACATTCAGTTTTGTCCGGAGATGAGTAGTAGCTGGGATGACAGTGTTGCAGGCAGCGGCCTTCCTGTAACATCAGCGGAGGTGCACAAGCCAGGCACTCCTCCTGCAGTCCACACGTTAGGCAAGACGACGAGCACGACGTGCACTTGCCAGCCCTGAAGTGCGAGAGGCATTAATGCGTATACGTTAATGCGCACAATATACATTGTATTCTCAGAACTCTAATACCGGTATGAAGGAGTTTCCATTAGAGATCAATAAATTGTAAACAGAACTGTTATCTTGAACTCCCATTAGCTTACATATTCATCCTAAGGACACTCAGAACCCCCACTCCCATGCCCTAGTGAGTCAAGTACTAACCGGACTACATGTGCCTCCGGGCACCGCGCCACACAAGAGTTCTTCAGGAGGACGAGACCGCGAGCGCAGCCGTCACAGCTGTTGGGACCGTCACCGTGACACGACCCGCACGAGGCGTCGCACGGCACGCAGCTGCGCGAGGACTCGGAGGCGTGGTGCGACTGAGGACAGCTTGCCAGGCATTCGCCTTCAAAAAGGAAACGACCGGCCGGGCATCTGGATACGTGAAAAACGAATTTGAGTGAATGAATGTTACTTTCGACAGTGAAGACTCTTTGTTATGTTGGTAGAAGGACTACGTTGCAGTTCACTCCGGAGGATAGTTACTGATAATAGTGATAGTTCGTCGAGGATATAAGCATAAGCCATTGAAAATGATCATCAGAAGGCAAAAGAAATCTAGATTTAACTAACAGCGTGGACGATAGAAATAATCGAAATAAATCCGGTGTCAACGGAGCAGAATATGAAAATGCAACTGAAGCATTAAGGAAATATTGATTGACAATAGTTTCTGACGTACCATAATCTCAGTACTGTACTCCTTTAAAAATTGAGCATTGGAATAAATGTCCAATGTCTATTTAAATTGTAAACAATACGCAACTGACTTGGTGCACTGAAACTTGGTTTCTTCAGAGCAGGTGAGACAAGAAGCATGACACTTGATACATTTGCCGTCCCTCTGGAACCTGTCGCCGTCACATCGCTTGGTGCAGGCTCCATCCTGCAGCTTGTAGCCTGTGCTACAGGCCGTGCAGGCGGGAACAGACTGTCCCCTACGTGGGGTTCGTAGCGCAGAGCTTGCAGGTAGCACGGTCAGGTGGAAGCCAGGGGGTGACTGGCACATCAAAAATAAATTTAACAATACCAGTAGAATTAATAAAAATTCGATGTTTCCATTGATAAACCAATTGTAGATAAACTTAGACAAATACCTTTATTAGAGGATCCATAAATTGTTTATTTCTGACATTAAAACTTAAAATGTAACAATATAAAAGAGTTACACATTTACATTCATTGGCTTATTAGCGAGACGTCGATTGATTATATCTGAACCAATGGAACAATTTCGACTGTATGCGGTCAAGAGCCATCAGTGTATCCCGGTATTCTGGTATCGTGTGCACTTTTACATGATCGTTTGAAAACTTCCTCGGCCAGAAAAAGAGATCAAATGCGATCGTAGAAAAAGTAGTGCTCATGCTACTGTATAAATTATTTTTTGTAGTTTATCTTAGTACAAAGCGTTCCTTTAGCGTTCAGTTTATAGGTCTCTCCTTAGTACTATTTTCATTATTTACTGTGTATTTATGAATGTATTTATTTGTAGTGCAAACGTTTGATTAATCACTATTTATTTACGGGTGCCTTTACTTTCAGTTCCACTAATCTTCTAAGTTAAATGGCTCTATCCCGTAATGGACATTAAAATGTAAGTCAGTTTTGTTTAAACTTGATTTTCACGTAATTTTAATATATGAAGATTATATACTCATTCTTTCGATTATAATGAAATTACACTTCGAAACGCTTGTTTTGGTTTCACGTAATACTAATTAGATTAGCAGATAATCAGTTAGCGGCATAGCTCAAACCTTAACGTTGTCAACACCGTCACTACTTCGCTCCAACCTCCTATATTTGAATTTCAAAGTTTTCATGACTACATAACCGTTTTGACGTTCAACAACAGAACTGGTACTCAAATTTACCTGCTAGTAAGAGCACATCTAGAAGCACCTAAGTGCACCTTGCTAATAAATAAGTTAAGCCATTTGAATACAAACTGAATTATCGAAATTATAATAATGCTCTAGGATAATTTTATGTATCTACAAACAGTAAAAAGACGTACAGATTTCCCAGTAGATGTACTCCTCCAACCGAAGGAGATCCCTTCAGATCAACGAGAATTTGATCTGACCGCCTCTTGTTAATATTTTGATTATTATTATATATTTATCTTAAGGTATTATTCATAATAATTTTCTGACGCTGCGTCTGCCATAACTGTAAATTGAAATAAGGGTTACTGGTTGAGAAGTTTACCTGAAGATGGTCCAAGGAGTCCTCGCACGCGATGCAATTGGCGGAACAAGACACGCGTTCACAGACGGGACAGCAGAAAGAAGCATCGTCTTCTGGACTGGTGGAGGTCACAGCAGTGTGGGGAGTGGTCGACGTGTTAGGGCTGCGGTAGAAGGGAGTGTAGCCTGGACTGCACGCCGGACACTCCGGAGCGTAGCAAGTGATGACACCGTCTTCACAGCTGCACAACTTGCAGCCCGAAGACCACACCTCACCACTCTGATTAAAAATATTTTTTACTTTAATTTACATTCATAGTGTTTTTAAGTGTATTTTTTTAGAAATTCAGACGGCTAATTTTTTCGCTTATAAATTTACTTCTCGCGATGTTATACGAAATGATAATAATCTAGCCTTAAAATAATTTGCCAGTAATATATTTCTTGTTCAGTTTGATATTAACATAGTCAAAACTTTTCTTAGTGATAATTTTAAATTATTTCATATAACTTTGTAAATTTATTTTCAATTTAGTTTTAATATTACATTATTATTTTGCTAATCCCTCTAAGTCTAAGTTATCTCAAAGCCCACGATGTTCGGAATTGCAAAGCATGCAAACTTCAGTATGCTGCTTTTGAAATCTTCGATAAAAAGTTTCCATCAAATCAACAAAACTCTTTTTACTTTACCTTTTTGACGTGACCATCAGTAAAGCACAAGCCAGTGTCCCTCTGGCAGTCAGGACAGCAGCGTCCTTCAGGAGACTCGACGAGCTTCTGGCCGTGCCCACACACAAGGGCCGGGCAGACGGCACTGGAACACGTCACCGTCCCACCAAGGCACTGACACACCTCAGGGCATGACGGCCCTGGCCACACCGCACCGGACGGCTTGCGGTCCCCATTAGGAAGGATGCACCAGCCTACATTATGGTCGGAAAACAGAAGATCTATATCATGGTCAGAATTAATTTCGTGCAGTTACAAAAAGATAAATCTGTGAGGAAGTGTATTGACTAATTTAACCCACTAACAGCATCGGAAAAAATGCTATCCAGCAAGTGTTCAGACAGGGAGAAAAAATATAAAAACACTCAACATGAACGAAATAAAATGTAACAAGAAGCAGGCACATAATCAGATCAATTCTTTACAAATTTTCTAGCATCAATAAATGAATGTAACCTTCTTTTGGAGCACAGGTGGCACAGCAGGCACCGTCTTGCTTCTGAGGTTCCTGGTCCGGAGGACAGTCGAGGGCGGGGCATCGTGTCACGTGACACTCCACGCGCCCAGCCTGACAAGCGCACAACTCGCATGGGTTTGGCTGCCACTGCTCGCCAGACTGTAGGAATCGTAGGTCAGGAAATAAAACATTGTAAAATAAGAAATTGTTTACTGCTGGAAAATAGTGAAAAAAATTGTACACTATGGCAATAAATTGTAAACAAATAAAGCGAAAATAGTTTCTGTACTTGATGTGAAGGGAAGGAAATGGACTATATAAAGAACATTTTTAATAGTATGGACTAGTAATATAATGAGTAACAGTAATATTATTTCATTCAGACAGGGATTCTTTTGATCTTCACACTAAAGATAGGATTCGTGTTCTTCAGAGCAATAGTCAGTGTTGATTTAGCAATTAGTGTCGTTTAGCCAGTAGTGTTATTTTTCTATGCGTTTGTGACAGAGAATCAGCAAACAATTTTAAGGCATACTGTGGAATATGTTCTACAGTATGCAAAACATTTTCAAAGTTTATGCACTTGGAAATTATGCATCTTGAATGGGGTTTAGCGTCTACAAATGTAATTTTAGTTTAGAATTTGACCTGACACTGCAAACGCATAACGTGACGTTGGCCTAAAAACGCTGGTCAATTAATTCAGATATAGATAAAATATTCGCACTGAAAATTATCATTAGAATGCATGAATTGGCTTCAGAATTAACGTTGAGAATTTGAGGTTACTCGCCAGAGACATTAGGTTTCAACTCACTGTCTACTGTAGGCCAATCCTGAGAATAATCATATCTCATAAAGTTTATTCGCAGTGCTCTTTTACGTGTAAGAATTGACCAGCTGGGGTCGTAAAGGCACCGTATGAGTTAGCAAAGAAGGTGGTAACATATGCGCAACAATGCAGGTCAATTGATTTGAATTAAAGGAAA